TAACAGCGGATGTACCAAAGAATGGTGATGCGCGATGTAAGGCAAGTAGCTGCCCGTAACTGGTGCAATCAACACATCGCTATACAGGCTAGAGTTTTGGGTTCTCGCATTCGCAACGAAGATTTTGCTGGCGTCGACTGCTGATGTCGAGGCGAGGCCGTCACACACATCAATGGCACTTGCGTAGGGATGAAACCCACCCTATCTGTGTAAGATGGCGGTATCGCCTGAGATTCGAGGCTAATTGCACTGCTTGCCCTATGTCCGCCACCTTGACGAAGTGTGATGCTACCTACCACGCCCGCAAAGAAATATTGCAGATCGATTCGAAGAGCCTCAGAGTGCTCGGGCGAAACGGCTTTGCGTGCCGGACCCACGATAATTAAGCCCCACGAATTCGCACGTGGGCTTGGTTTTGACGAAGCAATGTTACTAGGTAAGGCTTATTTTATTTCCTACTCCAATTGGGGGTTGAGCCGCCCAAAGCACATCCAGCATCCGGATGCTTCTGGGTCCGTACCAAACTCATGCGCAAGTGCGAGTCCAGGGTAAGGATCCACCAGGGCATTCAACAGTGAGCACGAGGAGAGCGAGCGGTGGTTATATGGTGAAGCGACTTGTATCTCTTGCTCCCACAGACGCATTAATAAACTGCAGGATGCATGCAGTTCGTTCGCGGTCGCGGAGCCACTCGGCCCATGTCCGCTCGGGACCTGTCAAGCACCAACCTCTGTGAGAAGCTGGGCCGCTCAGGGTCGACTCTGGAAAACAGAGAACGCAACGTGGGGGGGATTGCAAAGTGCTGTTTGTCAAATTCTTGCCGGTTTCGATATGGAGGGACAGCACGAAAATCGCCCGCCTCCGTGACCATCTTCTGCTATTCTGCCGTTTCTTCACGGGAGGATAAGGAGCCGGGCGAAAACAAAATAACCCAACTTGTGATATCATAGAAAAAAAAAAAAAAATGCATTGTTGGTTCCGCACCTGAATTGGCACAGGCCTTATTAATTCGCCTGATCGGATCCAACGGTCAGGACAAGGCTCCTCGCCGTGGAGATTATTACCAACGGAAACCAGCCAACAAGCTCGTGATTCCCATCAACGTGTTTATCTCGCTCTCAGGGGGCAATCGGATGAGCACAGCACTCCGGATATACGCACAGCACTCCGGATATACTAATTATGTCAGAACCCTGGTGGACACGGCACGCTTCTCCTGTTGCAGATCTGTACTTCTCTCGTCCAAAGTTGAGAAACGGCAGTTTTCAGAATTCCATACCACTACAGACACGCCTAGGAGGGTCAATTTAGAAAAGAGTACACGGATCAACTCTCTTTCGAGAAGTCACGAATCATTTCGGATCAATGGCCCAACTACCGACGCGAAAAATGACGAATGGGCTGGCTCACCTGCGAGGACAAATTTCCCAGCCGCCATGAACACATTGACACCTCCTGGACCTGCCTGGGTGACCCCTTTGTCTTTCGTTATCTCACAAAGTCCCATGTCTGGAGTATCCAGTCTCCATCGGGATAAATGTTGGAGAAGATGGGGTAATGGTACCCTGGGGGCTTATGCCCCTGGGTGAGCTGGTCACAAGACACCATCTCGGACAGATCCCGAAGCCTGCCCATGGGGCGAGTCGCGAGTGGCGAAGCGATTCAAAAAGAGAACTGACTGCGAGATGCTCATCAAACGATGAAGCTGCAGCCGCTAGCACAGGGACTACAAGTAGGTGAAAGAGATTATGTTGGTGGAAGATGTGACGCTGCTCTTATTTCCGGAAGCCGGGAACTTATCAATCAATCGAAAGGCTTCCGCCTCGGCCAAACAAGAGCCGTACGTACACCCGAGCCTACCAAGGGATAACGTGGAGGAGCGATATGTGAGTACGAGGGCCATGAATCATGGCTAGATCGAAAGCCTATTAGATTTCAGTCAGAACCATTGCATTCCAGATACAGTCTTAAGAGTCAACACTAAGGATCCTACTCCAAGAACAGACCCGAAGGGTGGTTTCACCGCATTACCGTCTTATTGAATCCCATCCTGGCTGTGGAGGAGGGTGCCATTTGATGGGTGGGTGTGGCGGGCGGCCTGGAGGACGGTGTATTATGGGCTTCGTTTCGGCCATGACCACCACTCCTACCTACCAACGTCCCTGTTCTAAGTCAGGACCAACATTGAAAGCCCTACTCTCTAAATACTTCATACTAACGCCACCAGCTCTGTTAGAAAGCTACCCGGCCTAGAGGCCCTCGACCGGACTTACGTCCAGGCAATACCGCTTTTGATGAAGACGCCAGCTACTACCCCATGCGTCTCAAATATCTGGCTACATCAAGGTCTTCCGTTTAGCGAGAGATTACAGAGATTACGGATCTGCCTGGTCCACTCAACTTGATGCCCTCGCTTTCCCCGATACTCCGATGTCCCTTACCTGTGACACGCTAGGGAGTTAAGATTCCGGGCTGCACATGCAGCTTATATTGTCTTACCGTCCTTCGAACCTCGCCGCACGCCTTACAGGCATTGCCTTACGCTGCCCTACGCGAGATCGGGCCGCTATCATCGAGGTTCATGATACGCCCACGCAACTCGCTGGAAAACGTAGCCACATGAAAGGCTGCGGTAGGATCACAGCGGGAATCACCCCCACAAGTACAGTAGAGGTGGCCGGGCCAATTTGGATTGGGGATATGCCGGAAGGGATGGGGGCGAGACGGCTGGGTTTGACCACTTCTAGTCCGGGAAACACTTCGCTACATCTGAAGCTGCAACCGGTAGATGGGCGGGAACTATTCTGGTTATCTCGGCGGGACGGGCTACACAAGCGAATGAGGATTACCCAGACGGCTCGCAGAGACTCGGGGGCCTTGCCTGCCGCTTAGCCTGCCACTTTCATCCTGCTGCCAACCGTCAAGGTTCCCTTTCGGGGACGCACAGGTTGCTCAGTTGCATCTAGAACGGCTCAGCCACATCCCAAAGAGCCTTTGGGGGTGGGGAGCTACACCGACGCCTTGGTGGGGTGTGAAGGTTGAGACCACTCTGTCCGTTGCAACAGGCTGCACAAATGAGACTCGATTCGGACCCAATCATTCATCTGGCTGTTATCTGAAAGTATCTAATGTCTATAGATAGCATTGGCTGGAACCTAGGAGCTACTTTGCGTACATCGTACACCTGTCAGGTAGCTCTATCCTACATTATTCCAAGATATGCAGCCTACCCGCATGCAGAGGAAGACGGTTGGATTCCAGAGACGAGGTGACGAAAAGACCAAGTGGATGGCGCAAGTGACAGCTCACAGTCGGTGAGAGGACTCTATGTTTCAAGTTACCAATGCTACCACGCCTTTCCGATGCTGTCGCATCGGCCGCAATGACGTGTGTCCTGGGGGAGCTTCCTACTGAATGGTGGTTTCCTTTTTCGCGAAGCGAGAAAAACTGGACGCGGAGCGCGTATGTACTCATTGACGCAGTATAAAGACGTCAGGAAGCCTGACCTGCATGATGTTCAAGCACGAAGTACATGTATGGCCAAGCCGGTCCGGCAAGCACTTATCTGCATGTTCCATTATCGGGGCGGGAATTCTGTTTTCGGGTGGATTTTAGTTTGATGGATTTTCCCATCTCCTCGCCCAAGCTTTTTTGAGTGACGTCGAGGTTGACATTCGCGGATCAACGGGCGGATTTCATCAGTGCGCATCGCTCCGCCCGCTTCTTCACCGCTAGATGGGACAAGCTGTGGCCCCTGACCGGGGATATGTCCTCTGGGCCGATAAGCCAAGGAATTCCAAAAAGTTACAGATTCTCCGCGTCCTTCTTTTTCTATTCTTCTTCTCGCAAAGGGAAAGAAAAAAAAATGGAGCCGAAATGGAACTTTACGAAGTTACGACCATCCGGTTGCGAAAGAGAACAAGGTGCAGGGTTAGGTTGGTGCTAGAGGAGTGTAGGATTATGTGTGGGTTTCGGTCTGCATTCTTTCTCACACCCTCCCTGGTTCTGCAGGTTCTCCTTTTTTTCGAGCATCTCGGCCTTCGGAAGGTGTGATGTACTTCGTACGAGTATCTGCTCATTCGCTTTGTATGCGGGATCCTTTGGGGCTCTCTCGCTGGAGTGACACTCGGACTGGAGAAGGTAAAATACCTTTTCGGCCTTACTCTTCTCCCGCAGGAGAGGCTTCTCTTTCTAGAAGGCCACGTCAAAGAAGGATTCCTAATTGATGCCGAGTTCGGGCGGAGTTGTCGGTCGGTCTCGTGGAACGCAATTTTCTTGGAAGGATCAGAGGATCGTCCGATGGCGGGAGAGATGGATGAAAAGCGAAGCCGATCTACTTGACGTTTTTCTTCGTTCTCCGGACCCGGAAGCAAGGGGGCTTACCGAGGATGTCTGCAAGAGATGTCCTCGGTCATGTAGGTCCGGGAGCTTTCGGAATGTGAGAAGAGAAACGTCATCGTTTAGGTGGAAGGTGAATGCCCTCTCTCCTCTTTGATTCCTTCTCTTTTATTTTTTGTTTCTTTTTTTTTTTCTTCCCATAGTAACGCCACCCTCTGTGTTAGACAAGAAGTGGACTCACTCACTCCCTGGCCTTTCCTTTGCAGATGACTGGCTTTGGGGGGAAAGGACCGGTGTGTACGCTGCCCCTTCTAGGAGTAAGCACTTGTCCCGCTCACCGAGGAAGATAAGGCTGTCTTGCGGACTTTGGAGTTGAGGACCGGCCGTGCTCAATGGCAGAATGCCTCCCCTTCGAGCCCGCCCAAGAAGTTTGGACTGTGAGCCGCCGTCATGACCTCAAACTCTGTTCCGAGGACTGCATGTTCTCGAAGTAGAACAAATAATCAACAATATTTGAGATTTTTCCTTGTTTTACCATAAACACTATGTCATCCTAAGGGATATACACTCCAATCCAGCATCAATAAATGAACAGAAGGGGTTAAGAAAATAGAACCGCTGTCTCTCATCCTCGTCCCTCATCCCTCTCCCACCTCGAATCCTCAAAAAGTACTCGTCGCAAGACGACTAGCCGCGTTCCTCGCATCAATCCTATCCTCATCATCCTCCTCCCCAACCCCAGGCAGCGTCACAGTTCCAGCGAGTCCCCTTCCCTGCCCAGCGCCGCCCTCGACATCACCGTCATCAGGCAATCCAGCAGAAGCAATCATGCTCCCAGAAAGCGCCCTATTCAGATCCGTTCGCCTAGGAACGCCGCTCCAGGCATCGCCCTTGGGGCCCTGGCTAGCCGCTAGGTTTGCCCTGCGCACAGGCGGATGAGATTCCCTGCCCAAGCGACTAAGACCACCCGAGGCGTCGATGGAGCGGATGTCTCCGCGGACGCTCTCGAGGAGCGCGAGGGTCCTGCGCTCGGCCTCGATCTCACGAAGCACGTACTCGCGGATGCTGAGACGCAGATCCGCAGCAGTGCGCGCGAACCACTTGCGCTTCTCGTGGACGAGGTTCTGCGTGACGGTAGTAGTCTTCTGATACAGGTGCGTCTCATTGGTACGCGCCTCATCCAGGGCGGCGATGGCCTCGTCAACCTTTTCACGACGCACGGTAGAGCTCGCCTTGAGCCTGTCGGCGGCATTGAGGCGGCTTCGCGTGGTCTCTTGGGCCTGGAGGAACTCGCGGATGAGGATCTGCCGGTTCGTCAGGGTCTCCTTGACGATGAAGGCGTCTTGCGAGTGGTACTGGAAGGGGTCGCCGATGGTGGTCGCTTGGGCCGTGGCCTGTGCGGCGTGGTAGTCGCCTACGGTCTGGACGACTTTGCCGAGCTTGCGGTAGGCGTTGGCGAGGCCTTGGTGTGGTTCTTGGACGTTCATGCTGCCGAGCTTGGCTCCGAAATCGGCCTCGGCCTGTCCAAGTCCTAGTAAGAAAAGCAAGGAGAATTAGCAAAGAGCAAATAAATAAATTAAAGGAAATATGAATATGCGTATGCATGGCAGTAAGAACGGGGATCAGCGCAAACATGTAGATGAAGGTATCATCGGTGTACACGAGATGTATTGAGGGAGAGCGAGGGGTGTGTAGGTGAGGGTGGACATAGGCACAGGTTGACTTGTTAGACGTACCCCTTCGAGACTTGACCATCTTATCGACCTTGTGGCCAGCATCCATAGTCCCCAGATAAAACAGCTTCACTATCGGCCGCGCATCGGCCAACTCGGGCGTATCATCAGGCGGCGGAGCAAACTGCTTGAGGATCTTCCTCCTGACGCCAGTGGCGGGCTGCTTCATCTTGACCATGGGGCTGTATCCGAAGTCGCTCTCAACAAAGAGCACCATCTCATCGTCCCTCATCAGGGTCTCGTTGCTGCAGACGTAGTTGAGCCATCGCTGCATGAGGGCCTTGACGCGACCCTCGTCCTCCTCGGTTCCAGCGCCGGCGGATGTGAGGGCGGGCGGGACGGCCGGAACGAAGGCTTCGGGATTGGCGGATATGAGGTGTTCGGCGAGCTTGACGAATTCGGAGTGGAGACGGCGGACGTCGCGATATTGCGTGGTGCGGAATCGGGGGAGGTTGGTCTGGAATGATGGTTAGCACCTACTCGAGGGTGTTTCCCTTTCACCCCCGCTGCAAGACTATTCTAGGGACAAAAAGACAAAGGGGGAAGAAAAAGTGGCAAAGGAGGAGGCAGCACTCACATGAACGTCAAACCTCAACAACGGGTCCTTCTTCCCAACTCGTTCAAGGCCCGTTATCTTCGCTTGTAACCTAGGCTGAGGAGCACTCGGCTTCCTAGGCCGCTGCTGGGGCTCGGGACCTTGTTGTCCTACCTCCACCGGCCTTGTCTGGTCCTGGGGTTTCTGTGGCGTTTCGGGTAGGCGCTGGTCCTCCTCAACTTCATGGCGAGCAACCTCTTCCGACTCCGCGGCCGTAGTCGAAGAAGCAAAATCATGATGATGATCATCCACTACGTCTTGACGGCTGACCTGGGTGGTGCCGATACCAGGGCGAAAGACATCGTCGTCCTCGAGACGGCTCGTCTCATTCCTCAGGGGACTGGGACCCTCGTTATTCGACTCGTATCCGAAGGGTGTCTGGTTCGTCTCGTCGAGGGAACCAAATCCGGCGGAGCGGATGTGGCGAGGTGAGTGGCCAGGGGAGCCCCAGGGAGAGGCCCCCTCGTCTTGCATAGAGCTATAGTCCATCTTCTTTCTTTTGTTTCGATCGGCCGCCGAATAAAATGCAGATCTAGTTAAAAGCGCTAACTACGATTCATTTGGCTCCTCTTGGTTCGCGGTGCAGGAGGCAGGGGTATGATACGATGACGATGACGATGACGAGGGACAGAGCTCGGTGGCAACGAAGCTCTTGCGCACAGGGAGGCAGCAGAGCCAGTGATTTACCGCAGGTCAGGATGCGCCGGAGATGTCTCCAGATATAATCGAAGGTAGTTGGCTTATTTGAAAGGAGAAGATCGTATCTCGAGAAGACGGCGCTTGCGATGACGCAGGCAGCAAGAATGTGCACTTGAGTCGGCACGAGATGCTGTATCGCTGCGTGGACTGCATTTGGCGATGTGATGTGGTGGCACAGGCACAATCGAATCGTAGCGGCGCTGAGCCTAGCGGCAGGGAAATCATCGGAGCTACAAGTTACAAAGTACCTTTCAAGGGCTGCAGTGCTGCAAGTGGTTTAGCCGCACCTTCCGTTAGCCAAGCATCTTAACATCGTCGACCTCAATTGATCAATTAAACCACTCGACAAAGGTAGATTCCTAGCATTCAAGTTCAAGGCTCCAGAATAGTTCCTCGAGGAGTCCCCTTTTTGTTCAACCTCATTGTTTCAGTCGGTACCGAGATCTGAGCTTCTCAAAGAACACAGCTCGCCGTTTACCAATCAGGCCACTTGAGCTCTTTCCTGGCCCCGCCGTTCATAGGAGCTTCGAGCCATCGTGCTCCTTTTTCTTTTCGTCACCTCCTACGGCCCTTCGCCAGATCCAGCATAAAAAGACAATGCCGCCGTTATTAGCACCCGATGCCCCACCCGCAGCTGACGAGCGCGTATCATTTGACCTCAACCTTCAACACGGCCACAAAGACCTCGTCCAGGCCGTCGCCTTCAACACCTACGGAGACCGCTGTGCCACCGGCTCAGTAGACGGCAAGATCCGAGTCTTCAACCGGCACAAGGACGGCATGTGGAGGAACTGCGATACGTGGAATGCCCACGGCGGCGAAATCTTAGAGGTAACCGACCGCAACCAAGCCTGGCCGCTGAAGACCATCGCTCTAACCTCTTGACTCTCTCCCCACAACAGCTCCAATGGCTCCCGGCCACTATCTACCCAAATCTCATCGCCTCCCTCGGCATAGGCGGCCGCTTCAAGCTCTGGGCCGAAGACCCATCCGCACCCCCGGGCCGCCGCTTCGCCTCCCCGACCCGCTCCAAAGCCGCCTTCGACACCCGTTCCTCCAAAGGTTCCCCCTACCGCTCCTTCTCCATGAAACATCTCGAGCCGACGCACCACACGTACCTCGCCCTCCTCGACGCCCAGGGTCGCCTTTCGGTCTACGAGTCCGACGAGCCCGAGACCATTGCCGAATGCGTCGCCGTTGACGAGCTGTCCGTGTGTGATCGTCCGCCGCGCGGCGAGGAGATTTCTTTCCGTGTGCGGTTTGATCCGAATCCGGAGGTGTGCTATAATGCTGTACGCGCGGGGGTAGCGGCTGATAGCGTCGCTCTCGTCGTGGCGGCTATGAACTCTGTGAAAGTCTATCGCAGCCGCGACGTCGTCGCTACTTCGGCTTATGGCGTGCAGCACGCTAAGAAGGAATTCTACCTCGCCGTTGAGATCGCGGAGCCGCACCGCGGTCTCGTCAGGGACGTCGCTTGGGCACCCGGGAACATCCGCGGCTACGACATGATCGCCACCGCGTGCCAGGACGGCTTCGTCCGCGTCTTCCGCATAGATACCCCTTACTCCCCCACCGACGGCAAATCCTGGGCAGTCTCAGACCTCGTCCCTTCCTCTTCCTCCTCCTCTTCCCACCACGGGCCCGGACAACACACAAACGGCTCTTCTACCCCTTCCGCCCTCCACAGAGATGTGAAACCCGTCTCCGCATCCGGCTTAAGCGCCAGCCTCGCGAAGCCATCCAACACCGCTACGCTGGACCGTGTGCACTCCCAGTCTCATACCCCTTCGGCACATCACCACCAGCAGCACCATGCGGATCGGGACCAGCAGGCTCCGGACGTGACGCATGCCGTTCGTGAGCTGTCGAGGCTGGATTCGCATCGGACACCTGTTTGGCGCGTCGGCTTTGATGATGATGGCTTGGTTTTGGGGAGCGTGGGTGATGATGGGCGGTTGGTTTGTTATCGGCAGATGCCTTCTGGGTTGTGGGCGAAGAGCAGTGAGCTAGGCATTGTGAAGGCGAGGATGATGGCTCCGTAGGTGAGGGTTTGCGACGTGAGATTTCTGGTTTTTTAAATCTTTGCTGGAATGGAAGGGTAAACTTGGCGTTTCATGGTATTGTGGGAGATAGATTGATGTCTTCTGGTGTTTCACTTGATTTGATGAGTATGAGGTTTTACATAGTTAGGACTGGAGTTCTTGGGGAAGTTGATGTATCATTACGAGGTTGTACTTATTGAATCAAGCGTTCTAAAGTGAATAGGTCATCAAACTCCTTCATGAGACATGCTTCACTTGTTGACTTAATGCCATTTCCAGATGGATTGTACAGAGAGGAGATAATCTTTACTCTTCAAACTAATGATCTACGCTCTTTATGCCTCCTTGAAGGAGGAGAAAAAGAAGAGAGAAGAATCCCAAATCAAGAAAACCCTCTATTTCATCCCAGCAGACGATTGATACTCCCCCCGCTACCATGTACTTCCTAATTGAGAAAAGGAAAAAAGGAAGAAAGACCATTTTGAAGGAAAATCCCAATACCCGGGAATGAAAAATACATACACTGGGCCCCCTCCCCCACGCTGTTCACCCTTTTAGCACCACGAAAGAGCCTTAATGCACATCTCCGAACCTTCCCTCCATTTCTCACTTGTCAAGGGTCACCTTGACATAAGGAACCTCGACATCGTTGCCATCCATGTCGTCGACGACAACCTCGAAGATGACCTCCTTCTGATGGTCGGGGATCTTCTTCTTCGAGACGGTCTCGACCAGCTGGCTGAGCTTCATCGGCAGCTTATCCTTGATCTTGGCCTGCGGCATGAACGCCGCGTAAAGGAGGCTCACGCCTGAGCTAAGCATGGTAATAGTGAGACCCTTCTTGTCAAAGTGATCGATGAGTTCCTGAAGCGTCACGTCCGAGAGCTCGAATCGGTCCCAGATCTTGTCGAGGGTGACCTCGCCATCGGGTCCCTTGTACACGACCTTGCCGCTCTGGATCGGCTCGCTGAAGCCGAAGAAGGGCAGCGCGAGGTTGATGAAGCCGTTTCGGTAGTCCTCAAGCTTCGTCCTGCCGTCGATGATCTTGTAAAGCTCGAGGACGACGAGACCCGTCACCAACGCGGTGGTCGTGGCGATGGCGGGGATAATCTTTCCGGCGATGAACTTGGTCTTGTGCCGGTCCGCCTGCTCGATCTTGTAGTTCTCGGCGCGGAGGTTACTGCAGGCAGTGATGAAATCGATATGGTAGTTCGTATCATCGTCCTTCTCGAACTCGACAGGCACCAACTGGAAGCCAGAGAGCTCGCTCGCGGCCGGGATGGCAGAGATGATCTTTTGTATTTCACCCTCGTCATCAAAACCGCTCTCGGTGCTTGGGTCCTAAACAAGCTCGTTAGTATACAAAGGCAGCTAGTAATAAGAGAGAAACGCAAGACGGTGCGTGACTTACAGGTTCGCTGTCGTTCGCCTGGATCTTGACGTTAGCATCCGGGACGAAGTCGGGAACGATAACGTTATCCAGCTCCCGAACGTAAAGGTCCTTGTTGTTGCCGGGAGACTTGATGTTATAGTTGAAAGCGTGGAGATTCGCCGCGGCCTCGATGAAGCCGGAGTGCGTGGGGTTAGAAGGGTCGAACTTGAGCGGATCAGGAGCACGCTTGGGCGCGGACCAGAAGGGAGTGCCGCCAGAGGTGGTAGCGTCCTTGGGGAAGTTGTAGAGGAGCTGTTGAATGTCGTTCACGAACAGCTTTTCGAACAGCAACCTCGCCCACGCGATGCAGTCCTCGAATGTCCGAGGCCTATCCGTCGTGAGGTTGTCCCGGACAGTCCTCAACACTTGAAGCTGGTTTCCACCTTGCTTGAGAGAGTTTTGGATAAAGTTGGGCTGAGTAAGGTAGTTGTTGACGGTCAGAGGACCCTGGACAAAGTTAGGCTCAAAGATATGCTCCTTCGCCCAGGCGATGGTATGCTCAATGCGATATGGGAAGCTTCGGACCAGGCACATAGGGAATTCCTTCTCGGGCGGGTCGTGAGACGACGAGTAAGACTCGGTGACGAGGGGAATCACAACTTGGGTATTGCCCTTTGTTCCTAGCGTACCGCTCTCGAGAAGGGGCTTATGGAAGAAGACACAGCGTTGATCCACGTATTGTCGGGATGCAACATTATCCAAGGCATTGGTCACACCATCAAGTTCCTTCCAGAACTGCTCGTTAAAGATATGTTCAGTATCCTTTCCGACGGGATCCTTTCGGGACTTGATGTGGCCCTCGAGGTCGGGATTCATGACTTGGACAGCCTGAGCGGCGGAGTCACTCTTCATCTGGCCGACGTTGTGCGCGCGGAAGAGGAACTGGCGGTTAAGGTTGCTGCGCTCGATCGAGTCCATATCGGTAATAACGATACCGCCCTTCGGCCCGGTCCCCAAGCCAATCATAGCCCAGTTCTTCAGCATCTCGCAACCAATAGCGCCGGCACCGACGAGGAACTGCTTGGTGTTTGCGATCTTGTCCTGGAAATCCTTACCAAAAACGGCAATCTGGCCATCGTACCGCGAGCCGATCGGCTTGCAGTTCTCAGCCGTGCGCTCGACGCCGGTTGGCAGAGATTCAAGGGAGTCGAAGTAGAACCACTGCTTGAGGGGATGGAACTTTCCGGACACGGCCTTGAGAATCTCCTGCGCAGTGATACCACCAATAAAGGCCGCCATGGGGTTGAGGTCACCGGTAGCCTGGTAACTTAGCTCCTTCAGGAGGTCTTCATTAATGTCACCCTCGAACCCGGCGTCCTTGAAGCCCTCCTGGGCAAGCTTGATGAACTCGGCCGCATCTTGGTCATCTAAAGGTCGAGGCAGGCGCTGGTTGATCTTTCGGAACTTGTGGAGCGCCTGGAAGGCGATGTGGAGCTGGTGAGGGCGATCGAACTTGGCAAAGTCCGAGATGACGAATTCAGGGTCCTTCTGAGCCTCGGCGATGCTCTTGAAGCCGACAATCTTGGGCATCTTGACCTGTTGCCAGAGACCACCCTTCTCGTACTCGCCAAGGCCAGACACATCGCCAATAGAGAAGTTGTAAGGACCTCGGACGGTGACCTTTCGGGGGGCACAGTTATTCAGGTCGGGCATGCCCTCGATCTCTGTAAAGGTGACATAGTCGCCGTCTTCGAGGCCATGTCGGGTCTCGTCAAGAGCGGACACCAAGCCGGTCTCGTCGATGTTAACGACGATGCCGGAGTGGGGGGATTCACCAGTAGCATCGCCGACGGTGAACTTCTCTCCGAAATCGCAAAAGATGGATGCGAAAAGACCGTAGGTCTCGGCACTGATGAAGTAGATGCCCTTCTTGTGGCAGTATTCACCGATGGTAATCTGGTCTTCAAGCGCCGTGTTTGTCAGGACGACGACTTGATACTTATCAAGCTGTGACAGGTCGGAGACAAGGCTAGTTACAGTAGGACTTGACGTTAGTGTTTGGTTCTCTTAATGGTGGGGGCAACAAATTAGAAGACAGCGGGGTTTTGGGAGGAGACACACCTATCGGACTTGTGTATGGAGACAGGAGTGTAGACATTGAGCTCGGCGACTCGGGGGGTGGTGACCTCATCGCGTGGTCTCCCAACCTCGTCGGCCCGGAGGAAGAACTGTGAGGAAAGATCGGCGATTTCAACCGGCGCAGGATCATAAAGAGCGAGGCTCTTGACACCAGCAAGAGCAACGTTCTTGGCGATCTCGACACCGAGACCCTTGAGACCGACGAGGAGGACGTTGGAGGCACCCATACGCTTCATGGCCTCGTGGCCAAGAACGTAGAGCTGTCGGCTGTAGAGCGACTCATCGATGTCACTCGCCGTCGTCGCCGAGTCGTCGACCTGCATCCGCGTGGCGGAATCTGCTTCCGACATGATGGCGAATTTCTATACCGCGTGTATTTTCTGTTAGTTTGGTTCTCAATTTTCTCTGATTTTTTTTTTCTCTTCTTTCTGCTCGTCGCCGCCTCTAAGGATGTTGGAGAAGGGCGTTGCTCAGGTGAAGGTGGGGGAATGGCGAGAAAGCCAGAAGCAAGCACAAATGGCCGAGAGATAGTTGAGGTAGTGCGGGGCAATGAAAGGCAGAACAGGCGACTGCCTTGGAGCTAAGCTTGGCCTCGGAATGGCTGGGCTATATTAGGCGGGGAAGGCCTGGCCCAGAACAGGGCGGCGAATGACGTACCAAATCGATTCGTTTTTGGGATGGTTGAAGCTCCCCGTCTGACAACTTTCGTTTCCCCAGCTTGACGGCGATGGGAAATTAGAAAATACAAGGCTATGGGTATGCGGGAGAATGGATGAGCTGGATCTGAGTCGAGTCTGGTATTTGTAGGCAAGAAGCGACAAAGGACGAAACGCTGACGACCCCACCAAATTAATGCAGAGCTTGTTAATGCTTGTCTGAAGGGATTTCGGAGCCAGTCGGTTTTAGGACTGGACCTTTATGTTTGGGGGGATTCTCAAAGGAAAAGTTTCCAACAAAGAGCAGCCGCATTAGGATTCCCCAGCTAGTTATACAGCTTGGGGCATTTCCATCGAAAGCTTAATACGTTCTTACAATTGCAATCGACGAGGATTTGTAATTCGCAGCTTATCCAAGGAAACTGTGGCAAGGACAGCTTTGGGTGCCTCGTAAGGCCCCAGCAAGTCCCAGCTAACACTTGTCAAGTCCAGCTGCGACCAGTAACCACAATCTGGCTCGAGGTGAATCCACACCGAAGCTACTCTTCCCCGAAGATCTGCCGGATTCCGTGCACTCAGACTCTCAAGCCACAGAAAATCAGAGCTTTTGCACCTTGAATTCAGCCACTTTTCCTGAGTTGCCTGTGGCAAAAGCTCAAGCGAAATCGAGGTGACACCAGAGCACTCAATCTTGACACCACAACCGCATTGAACTCACCCCGATTCATTCCCTGGCTTATTAAACACTTCTCAGAAGCCAGAGATACTTCGAATTTGCCTTCGGGCAGCTGCGGCTTCAGATAAAAATGCTCCTTAATACTAGGAAGCTGCTCTGAGGACTTTAGTCCGCAAGACAACCATTTCAAGGACAACTAAAGATACCAGACAAGCCGACTAACCAGCTCCAGGTACAGACAGCTGTGGTCTGAGAAATGAGGTGGATTGATCTTCTTAACAACAGCGTACTCTTAATTAAAACTTTGTAACTCAATCACGCTCTCCCCTGACTCCCCGACTACCGAGGAATAATACAATCATAGCGGACTACGCCTTTGAGGGCAACCAGATCCTTTTTCTTTCTGATGGGCTTCGAACCTTGGATTGGACTAGGTTATCAGATTCCCCGCTCAGCTCCCATCACTGTCACAGTGTCACAACATATGTAACACCATCCAGGCACTTGCGAAGTAACCCAGCAAGAACAAGACTCGAGGAGTAACCCAAAGAGGACGAGTCTCACTTGCAGCAAGCTAGAGACAACCTCGACTTTCCCAGGTCTTCCCCTCCCAGGTATGAGTACAAGATTTAATGGCATCAAGACACAGGCAAGAAATAGACCGACTGGGGAGCGAGCCTCCTAGCAAGCCAGTCCCCCTGTAGCATCATTGATCCATTCCATTTCCCAGCTCGGTTCCCTCACCCTACCTCTACCCCTCCCAAGAGGAGAAACCGACACATACACTAGATGTTAAATACATGCATTCAGCCCTCCTTCTCAGAGTCGCCCCGACTCGTCTTATCCCTCTCGTCATTCCGCATAGCTAGTTTATGCGCCATACCTTAACTTACCGAAAGGGAAGCCAAGTCCTCGCCAAGTGACATACCGCCCTTCCTACGGCATCTCGTTCGAGCCAGTGGCGCGTTCTCGACAAGACCCCTCTCCGCGGAACGCCGGAATTTTGTACATATCGCCATTCCTTGCAGGTTGCTACGTGGTCGACAGGACATTTGTTAATAATAGATCCTCCTAATAGTATTTAACTGTCCCTGGATTCATCCTTTGTACTCGAGCAGCTACCCTGAGCTAAGACACTCTGTGCTCCTTTGAGAATAGCAGAGGTCGAAAGGACGTATACCCCCCACATCAGGTCCCAAGTATATCATAAATGACAAGACTGTTCTCTTCTTCTTTGAATGGACATCCCACGTTTGGCGGTAGTCCGGCTCGGGTCAATTCGGCATCCGACTTCCGGGTTTGCCTCGCACCAGCTGAAGCGTTCAGAATCACAGCCATGTACTCTTGTATGAATACTATACTACACAGCGCAAATGAATCGATTGTGGAGAATGGAATAGTCACTTCGCAGTTCTCTCTTTCAAAGCGACCATCACGTTGCTTTTCAGATAATTGTATCATATGGAGCAAACATCTTGATATCGTGGCAAAATCTCGCCTCCCTTTGGGCATTCGTCTGTATTTAAACGACTATGGCCAAGTCTCAGGATAGAGATAAACATCGCAAAGCAGATGTAGCGCCGAAGCGCGAAAACGCCCGTCAATATATCATTCCGTTCGCCTCTTCATGTAGGCTAACCCCGTTTCAGGAAAAAGTAATGACTGGATTCGACTGAACGACTTAAGCGACCTTCTTGAGCTCAACCTCGCTATTGAAATAAGACCAGGTCAGGATACGCTCGAAAGGTAAAGTAGACTCGGAAGAGAAACTCACAAGAGAAGGTCAGCATTGGGGGGGATGTGGCCAGTGAACCCACTATTTCCACCAAGTGAAGAAGGTTAGTTACAATGGAACAAGCATAGCTTTGCCTTCATTATCAATAGGATTGAAAGGGGAAAGGAGCTCCAGCTGCCAGACTCCGCTACCATTGGACAATGGCATAGAACTTGACCTGCATCTACTATTGGGCTCAGAATTCGGGACCGACATACCGTTCACCATAGGCAAAATCGCTGTAGATGTTACATGTTAGCAAGATGGTCTAAAATTTGAAGAAATAGAGCAAGTGCAAGGAACCCAGGGACAAAGGGAAACACTGAATAAAGGGGGCAAAATTCCAGTCTAGGTAAGGTGATTCTTACCTGGAGATGTCAAGGAGGGCCTTCTCTCCAACCTTCATCTGGGTGACACCTTCCTCCCATCCTGTTATTCCAGATTCTGTCAGTAAACCATCGTCTATATCCTTTAATTTTCGTAGACAGGGAGGGTTAAGTATTAGGCCTGAGGTCCAAGAAGAGAGATCCTGTTTGCAGTTTGTTCGTGCTGTTCCAGATCTACATACCCCTAATGACCTGGCCAACACCAATACGGGTGACGAAGGGGCCTCGGCCAACAGAGCTGTCGAACCTTTAATCAAACTGTCAGTACCATTCTTTCTTCTGAGGTCCTTGCTAATTGCCCTCAAGATAGCAACTAGCTCCCGGTAATAGAGGACTAGGGGAGACTTGTTTGCAACTTACTTGGCGCCCTTCTCGCCATTGGGACCCTTCAACCAGCCAGTGTACTCAATGGTGACAGTTTGGCCGGGTTTGGGGATGGGACCGGAGCCCTCGGTAATAACGGTCTTGGTAACGCCCATTGTGATTGTTCTAAGAAGGTAAAGTCTTGATTGAAAGTGGGAGCTTGGACGGTTGGGTTGAAAGATCGACGACGAAGGAAGTTGAGTATGCTAGAGGTCGAGGTTTTTTTTTTCTGGGAGGGGGTAGGAGAAGAGAAGGAAGGTATTAAATGTCCAGCTTGAGGAAGAAGAGCTGAGGAAAATCGCATCCACGTTGCTGGGAGCCAAGGTACAGAGGAAGGTACAGCTCATACACAGGAACTTGAGGTCTTGGTGGGAAGGTGCAATGTGGGTAGGTGGGGCGGGGAAGCTCCTCATGGAGGGGTAAAGTCCCGAGTCCAAGTCTCAAAAACCGAATTCCAAGCAATTTCTTTGGGAAGTGGGGTGAGGGGCAGGGCAACGGAACAGGACACATGTATCTGAGCGTCGACGACGTCAGTTCAAGGGTGGGTGCAGATCATCGAGGAGTCCAGCGCCGAAAGCTAAAAATGAACACCTCCCATTGCCACTGTCAAGGAAAAGAGAAGTACATCGGACCTACCTGGTCATGAAGTATTTCGGTTTGTAATGGGAATTACCTAAAGCTAGAGCTAACATGGTTTGTGACTGTACTGGGGTACTTGTACACCTGGTATATTTGAAGACACTCAATGTGGTGAGAAGTGACCTGGAAGTGAGCAAGGAGGGCCAAGACTCAACACTTGAGATCAAGAGGAGGGTGGACAATGTCGGAGGTCCATTGAACGGTCTACGGCGGGGAGCGGAGGGCAGGGAGCGGGGAGTTAACACAAAGTCGAGACAGGATGGCCTTCACTTTGAATCGTGAAAAGACTAGACACCGCTGGTGCGTAGAACCCAAGACTACTCAAGGTTGGGTTGAACATCTTTGTGACTGGCATCCTGGGAACTAGTTATCAACCGACCAGTATGTTTGAAGATCAGTCGTCGAAAATAAACCGCTTTCTAACCCCCCATAACGTGCCAGGGAGAGCTCAAGGTCCTTGGTCTGGCCGGCAGCTTCGTAACTATCCTCGCAGCCCTTTCACTGGACTTGGATGTATTCGGCACCCTGATTGGTACTTCTGAGTACTAACCTAGTACGAGCTCCCAGTTACATCACTCCCCATCTCTAAGTCGCCAATAATACCAACTCTAACACGGTTCCTATCAATTGATGCTTCGGCAATGCGTTGATAGACTGCACGACGAGGTAGTCAGGGCCTGCTTAAGGTTCTAGGAAACCCGAGGGGCAAACCCCCTCAGTCTACTCCTCTTATATCCACACCAGTTCAAACCCGGCATAACATCAATCAAGAGCACCGGTCGGATTCGCACTCAACCTTGATGCGCAACGCTCTCTTCTTATGGGGGAGGAAGTACTGCAGATGTAGCGCACCCAAATAAATCGGGTACAACAATGGTATACAGTACATCCTAGAGCTAGACGAAAATTGCGTCTTGAGACTCTAGAAAGTATTAACCCGGACCCCGACATCAGTGCAGGTACAGAGCAGCTTGATGGGTAGCCCCTTCGTAGGAAGTTGGCGGTGACCAATCCTTTTCCTCGTGCAGCTTCTCATCACATTCGCCTACCCCTCTCTACGCATCTCGCCCTGCTTCACTCGTCTTGTTCTTCTCTCCCGAAATATTAGTATGAAGAGAATCAATCATTGGCACTAAGGGGAAGAACGCATAGGATGCCAATCCGAGCGGCAGCCCTCATTTGAGGAGTTCTCGAGAAGTTCGAAGCCTGACCTGTACTTGGAGAGTCAGTATGACGGTCTCATGGCCTCCCCCCAGACTCTCAGGCGCTCATCCAATTTGAGATCCTTACAATCGGATGCTCTTCGACTACAATGTTGCCTCAAGCTGGAAATGCTTACCCCTGTGAGCTAGTTCACTGTCGTCCCGGGGACATGTTCCCCCGTCTCGAAGAGTTCTTTTTCAACGTCTCGGTCCTAACTCTAAACACGCGCTTTCGGAGCAAGGGAGTATGTCGAGATGGTGACTATTCAGTGCCCAACTCAGAAAGAGGCGGCAATTCGCACGAAGAGATGGGCGACTGGGGCTTCTGTGGCTCCTGGTGTTCGATACCAGGGTGTAGGAGTTGATTGCTTTGTTGCCTGGGTTTCCCCCAAGATCTCTGCACCGCCTCTCTGCTGTGTCACACTTGGCAACATCGACAGGCTCTATCCTATCAGGCTCTATCCTATCACCCAGAAGCCACAAGAAGGGCCCCTAAGTTCCATCACGGAGTTGCGTCTATCTCTGAATGGGAACCACTCATGTAGTTATGCGGGGTCCTGAGATGCCTACTAGGGGGGCTAGGGGCAGTAGTTATCAGCGTAACCCTTTGATGCAGATAAGAACATATTACCACTGATGAGAAACGTTAGTTTTTGGTTCTGTAGACTATTTGGGGAGGGGGTCGAGGTTTCTGTGAGACATTAGATCCTTGGCCATCATGACCATCGTCCAAGGCCATCTTGCATCTTCTATCCACACGCCGTTGGAGTGGTGGGATCGGAAACAACATCCCTATTTCCTGTTGGATAGTTCTACAAGCTCTCTGCTCAAAAGCTCTCTTAGAGCTCTCTTGGTGCTTCTCCCTAAGCATTATCAGGGCGCACGCTCACTCAATATTCCAAATCCGGCCGTAGTAAACGTTCTGGGATAACGAGGCGGCTCTATTCCCTACCGTCAATAGCTTGAGATAGATTTATCTTTCTTCATTCGAGGTAAACACGGCACGAAGAAGGCAGAGTGTTGCTTTCGTGTGACGTTTATCCAGGAAATCTTGCTCTAAATATGACAAAGTCGGGAGTTTGTCGGGAGGCGTATTGGCGAATACGGCTTCTTGAGTGAGCACGCCGAGCATCCGACGGACGGCGGCCATCTTTCTGAATGATAGTCTGGGAGAAGCCAGACTGAGGGGACCCTTAGTTGGTCTCCCCTGCTCATAGTCTGGTGATATGTACCATATCCGACGAACTCTGACTAGAAACCGTCTCGCAATCTGTTCAGTTTGGACCTGTTTTTCCCGGCCATCTCTAAAAGAAGTGGACTCATTGTGTACTTCTAAGACACATACGAGCCTCGTCAGTTAGAAGTTCCTGTGTCTGAGGCCCTTGCCCGTCTTGCGAGGTCTTGGGCGCGGACTCGAGAGGGAGAGCCTCCCACGACTGCTTACACCACCGCCTATTTCCTATACACGTATCAGTCGACGTTGACACTACATGAAGTATTTGGATTCACCTGTAATGAAGCTCTACTTCGTAGGTCGTGGGTAGAGAAAGAGTGGCTCGACAACTAGCCCTGTATTCTGGAAAGAGGACGCTGCAGCAAGAGATATGCTCGAGCCCTAGAATTAGCACGGAGAGAACATGATTCGAATGAGCATATCATTAGAGGTATCCTTTTTTCTAAACTTATCCCGGGTGAATTTCTCATTTCTAGGCAGGCGGAGGACGCGTTGCTGTCTAGAGCCTAAACCCCCAGGGATTCAAATTCTATTACTCTTCCGAGATTAGACCAGCAGTTGCTCTTACGGCTTCTCTCTAGTGATTTATTCATCGGCTCCTGAGGGTTAGATAGCTCAGGCACAGCAGTGGCCATCCTTTCCCTAGTGTCCCAGTTGAAAATGCAATTCTAGATCCGGCCTCGTAGAAGAAAGCGTATATAAAGAGAGACATGGAGGAGAGAATGGGGATTTACATAAAGGATGAACGATTATGACATGTGTACTGTTCTACTGCCCTAGATAAGTCATAGCTCATCTCGACCAATCTAAAACCGCCCCTCTCAAAGCTTTAGTTTACTATGAGCTTGTATTCTCATGATCCAAAGCCTTCCTTCCAGTCCCGCAGCCACCAGAACCCCGGAAGGGACAAGAAACTACGTAACTAAGTTTTGGACTGGGGAGCAGTAATGTAACAGAGTGGCCGAAGATGGGGGATCTTGAGCAGTGCCCTGAACCCGCTGAAATGTGGTTTTTCATGTGTGGTCCGGCGAGTCTATTTTTTTCTTCTTCCGCTTTTGCGTCCCTCCCTTCTTCTTCTCATTACGACTATCATTCTCCTTCTTCCCGACGTGTAAATCTTACCCATCTAGTATATAAGCTGGATAAACCACAGTCTCGAGGACCGACAATGACCGACAAAGACCTCGGTCGCAAACCGGCCCAGACGGGTGCCTCAGTTCTCGGCGTTGCGCTTCGATTCTTCCCGGGTGCTCGGCTTCGGCACAGATCTAATCGGCGTGCGGACACAAGCAAGGAGAGGAAAGGAGATTAACAGCAGCAAAGGATGTTGAAGATCTTCGTTTCCTGACTCTACTCCTTCTGCGACTAATTCCCAAGACTATGGGGATATGATAGGCCAATGGGTAACCCCCTTGCAGAAAACTATTCGAAACAAGGGATAAAGAAATGCGTATTGCGGGAAAAGGTGCTCTGCCTCGATGGGGCGGCACGCTGGCAGACGAGTGTATCAAACAAATGAATACTCGCGGCTCAATGCTCACGACAGAATCATCTGGCTAAGTTCGGCCACATATCCACCTGACTGCCGAAGAGTCGACCTGAAGGATTTTCTTACCCGGGAAGAGCAGGCAGGGACCACCTCGTTTCTGCAGAGTACGATGGTGATGCAGATGCCCTTGCATCTGCACACGGACGGAGGTGGGAGAGAAAACGGTGCTTCCAGGCATCCGAGATGTGGGTGCTGAAGACTCCGCTGGGCATCCTAAGGATCCGCTTCTTCCCGGAAAGTTTTTTTCCCTTCTTTCACGCCGTGAATAGCTAGGATATTTCGGTGTATGGCTGGTTGTGCCATCGTTCCGTCTTCTGTCTGGGTCTTCTGTCTGGGGCCTGGGGTAGTAGCGAGCAGAAACATGGATATGCTTTCTGTCACCAGTGTTTGCGGTATCTGAGCTCTGACAATCAACAAGCTGCAGATGCCATCCGTGCCATCAACTCATGACAGGCCGGCGATGGCATGGTGTGTAAGTCAGAGTCTGAGGAG